ACAGCAACAGGCCTACCAGCCTCGACAGGGGCAACCATTCCAGCAGCCCCAATGTCAGTATGCCAAGCCAGCAGCAGCTCCTGCCCCAGATGATCGGATGACAAAGCTGGAGAATATTCTAGCTTCATTCATGACTAGCACTCAGGCAACTATCATAAGGTTGGACCAGAGCGTAGCCTCACTAGAGGCAGGTCAGAGGAACCAAGGTGCCATTTTGCAAGATCTGCAACACCAGGTGGGTATCTTGGCCCGCCAAAACACTACCAGGGCACCGGGGACTCTGACTGCCACCACTATTACGAATCCTCGTGATCCTCACCAGCACCAGCAGCTGGATGCCATTTTTACCAGGAGCAGTGAGACCATATCTGCTGATCCTGTCCCGGCCAGGCAGGAGGACCCACTACTTGCTTTAGCACTTCCAGCCGACGATGCAGAAGTGCGGGTGGAGAAGGAAGCCCCTGCCCCCAAGCCACAACCAGTGGTTAAGGAGCATGTACCTCAGCTTCCCTTCCCCACTCGCCTACACAAAGACAAGTTGGAGACTGAGTTTGCCAATTTTATGGCAATGTTGAAGCAGCTCAACATCAGCATACCGTTTGTGGAGGCACTGTCGAAGATGCCCAAGTACGCGAAGTTCATGAAAGATCTCCTCACCAACAAGAAGAAACTTGGGGATCTTTCGACAGTGATGCTCAGTGAGGAGTGTTCTGCTATCCTGCAGAACAAGCTGCCCGAAAAGCGCAAGGATCCAGGGAGTTTTACTATCCCTCTTACTATTGGCAGCATGCATGTAGGCAAGTCCTTGGCGGACCTAGGCGCTAGCATAAATGTCATGCCATATAAGTTGTATAAAAAGCTAGACCTAGGTGAACTTAGCCCTACTAGGATGAGCATTCAGCTAGCTGATCGTTCCATTGTGCATCCTAGGGGAATCATAGAGGATCTGCTTGTCAATGTCGGTGCATTCACATATCCTGTTGATTTTGTTATTCTTGATATACATGAGGATGTGGATGTGCCTTTGATTCTAGGTAGACCATTTCTTGCCACCGCCAAGGCACTTATTGATGTGCATGATGGTAAACTGATCCTGCGTGCTGGGAATGAACAAGCTACTTTTTCTGTGACTGAATTCGATCATTGTGCTATGATTTCTGTTACACCTGTGCATGCCATTTCTGATCAGGTACACGAGCCTGTCGTGTATCCTTCTGCACCTCTCATTTTGCAGGACCCTCCTATCATTCCTTCGCCGCCACTCCATCCAGCCTCGCCTCCGAACAAAAAGCTCAAGGAGGAGTGGCGGCCGAAGCAGCAGGTTGCTATGCCTGCACGGAAGAAGGGTGGAGACCACTACGAGCTGGCCCCACCTCCTGCACCACGACCACCCTGGCCGTCCGGGTACTCACTCGCCTGCATCTTGCCGGATGGCCAGGACAGATGATGGTGGTCGCATCCGTCGGGTGCATGGCCACAACCTGAAGCTGTACCTCAAGAGCGACGTGGATCCGCTCTTGGAGGCACCTGTTCCTTCACCTCCCTGAGTATCCACCATGGGCGTCCAGCTAAAAGACGGTAAAGAAGCGCTTGTGGGGAGGCAACCCCACCACGGTTTGAATTTCTTTCTTGTGTTTTGAGTCGGATTGTAAACTGGTTTGGTTTTGATTTGTTTTCTTTTGTTTTGCATGATGTATTATTGGGCTGACCATTGGACCTGACGTATTGTGTTTGAGCTCTTTGATTCCTTTAGCTGTGCTTGTCTTGACTGGTTCTCTCTCCAGTCCGCTTCACTCCGACTGGTCCGTTTCCAGTCTCCTGCAGTCCGTGCCTACCGGTAACATCGTTCCCCTTTCCTTCCCTCTTCTCCATTGAGGGCAATGTCGATCTTAAGTGTGGGGGGGATGTTTATCTTTTGACTGCATTAGATCTGTTTGTGTGCTTGGAGCCTAGTCCACTGTCCAAATTTTTAAATTTGAGGGCTCCAAGTACGTGTTCCTTGCAATTGCCTGCTCAGTATGCTTTGAATTGACAGTCTTTATAGTAATATGCAACCCTAGGGAGGTACTGTAGCACTATGGAGGATGTTGATGCATATAAGAAGTCTCATTTCTTCTTCAAATTGTGTTAGTTGATTGAGTGAATTAGTGATCTTAGGACCCCTGAATTGTGTGGTGTTGTGGATTCTCTACCTGTCATGGACTCTTGTATAATGTTTTGAGTTTAACAGGTGCTCGAAAATGTGCTTTGAAATAACGTCTCCCGTGCGAATAGGGCGAAAGTGTGTAAGGGGAGACGGGAACCCGTTCCCAATTTCCACCTACTACCTCCAGCCCCCTTACATGTCTTTCCCCCGCACGAGGCTCGAGACATCCGCTCCTGGCATGGCCGGTAAGAGCCGGGCTCCCGCAAAACCTCTGCTAGGTGGAAGCCCCCATTTTCTGAAAAGCAGGTTGGGACCCTTGAAAAAAAAATAACAGAAAACAAGCAAAATAGAAAGAAAAGGTGTTCCAACCATCTTCAAGAAGAAAATAGAGCACCTTGAAAAATGTGAGTCCATGATCCTTTGTTTTTGAGAATCTCTTCATCCACAATTCATTTGTCCTCTGTTCACTATTTGCCATGATGCCGACTCGATACTAGTGCTCTCGCCGAAGAAGCTATGAGATGACTTGTGCGTCGGTTGACCTCGTAAGCTGCTAAATGATCTAGGAAGCCCTCTACCTACGATCTGGGTTGTTTGTTGCTATAGAGGTCTGGAGAGTTGCATTGGTTTGAGTTAGGTTTGCTTGGGCACAAGCAAACGGTTAAGTGTGGGGGAGTTTGATAGACCGATAATTACACATATTTTCACCCCTATTCTTGAGCCGTTTGAGAGGTTGACTCTCGGGTTTTAAGCCAATTTCACGCGAGGTTGTGTGTTTATGTCGTATTTCAGGACCCGACGTTGGAATCGAGGCGATGGAACGAGATTCGGGTCGAAAGGAGCAAGTGAGGCTTGAAGTGTGCTGGAGGAAGAAAATACCCGGCCATGACCAAACATACCCGGCCGGGTATTATTCTGAGGAGGCCGGGTATTTGCTGTTTTAGCGTCTGAGAAACAGAGAGGGTCCCGGTCGTGAAGCTTAAATCCCCGATCGGGGATTATTGGAGCAGACCGGGGATTTTCCCCTGGCATGAAACGTGCGTTTTAATAATACCCGGTCGAGACCCAAAATACCCGATCGGGTATTTCGACCGGGTATCGCGACAGGAAGCTGTTTTAAAGGAAAAGAAGGCCAAAGATCAAGGGGATTCGAGTTTTGGAGAGAGAGATCGATTCCTAGAGTGAGAAAGTGATGAACAAGAGTCTCCAAGTACCCTAGCTTGATCTTCATCACCATTGGAGGCCAGTTTGAGCTTGGAGAAGTGCCGATCAACGTCCAGGAGCAGGAATCCATCCTTCACAGTATGAATTTCGCGTCTGATTATGCTTTTGGTTCTTTCTCCATGGAGTAGTTCTCCCATTCATCTGGGTATGGAGAACCCTAGATTTGTATGTTAGGTTTGATTGTATGAACTCAAGTACTGATTCTATGATTTGATTATATTCGATTGAGGTTTGAATGATTGAATGACTTGAATCCTGATCAAATTCCTGTTGTTTCTGCTTTAACCTAGAATGAGAATATCTGCCTAGGTTGATAGAGCATCCTTGATTGAAGGTAGGGAGTTGGTGACTTTAGTGGAGGAGCCAACTCACTATTCCGTACCGGATTCACTTCGGTAGTGGAGGTTTTGTTCATAGGGCGTCAATCTGTTTACTCCGGTGGAGGTTAGTCGCCCGCTAAAGACTCAGATTGAGAGGGTCTGAAGACCTTTAGTCGAGACTTCAGGCTGTTTAAGAACCTTCCGCAGTATAACTATCATAGAAACTGAACTTGGTAATTACAATCCGGCTTAACTGCAGTCTAGGGGGAACCATATCTGGGTGACCTCTCTTAACCTGAATACAACCGTTTACTTGCTTTGTTAGTTTGTTAGTTTAGACTTGCATTAAATTTTCATTGCTAGATAACAAGAATTCACCGAGTAGTCATCAAATCTAGGACCCGGGTTGACATTTAAACCCAAACCCGCTATACTACGCTTTACGAAGTGGTTTCACTTGGCCAATTCCTGGAGTGACAGTAGAAGTGAGTCAATGACATTCAAATGCATTAAAAAGGTGCAAACGAAAAGGTCTCACTTTGTTCACAAACCAACACATGCCTTGAAAAAATTACTCACCAACCACAATTAACCATGCATAGAGTTCAAGTCTGAGGAACAAATGAATGGGCGAACTAGGTCCTCACCGGGATAAGATATGAACATGCAAAATGAGAATGAGAATCACTCACTCTCGACCAGAGGGGTCAGGATCATTTGTTGCAAAAGATGTGCACAATCAACACATCCCTATCGTATCTTCACCATGAAGGTAACCTCTAAATGTTAGAGTTCACGAGATGGTTGTCGTCACTAGCTTGTCCAGAGGTCTTAGACACGAGTTCAGATAATTGGCTATTGTCTTGGACATGGGGGGAAAAGCTTTTTGAGTTGTGGCAAACATAGCATGAGTTTCCACATCTTCAACCTAAAACCAACAAGTTTCTATGGTTTCGACTAGAACCTTTCCTACAAGCAACGGTCACTAGCATCGGCCACCACACTTTCTCAATTACAAACCACAACCAATCCTAAACGACATTCAAGCACACTTTCTCGACTAAACCTACTATCCAAATTTCAATCATAGTAGTGAAGGAGTTTAACAAGCAATTAGGTGTTTCAATGACTTGAGTGCCAAGAAACCCTTTCAAGAGCAAAAACATAATCATTTGTGGCAACTCTCTAACTTTTATTTACCCCATTTATTGCCTCTTTTTTATTCCTTTTTTCTACTTTCCTTTTCATTTTTTCCTTCTTTTTTTTTTGAGGGGGTACTAGAGAGCTAAACACATGTCAATTCAACACTTAACGAACAATGCTCTCTATTAAGAACTTCCTCCAACACTACATATTCACTCCTAGCAGGAACCGTGCAAAATCCACCTATGTAAAACCTCAATGGAGCTCAAAAGCGAGAGCTCCGAGACACAATGATAACTTACAATGGTTTAGACACGAAGAAAGGAAAGGGTCGTTCTATCAGTCACCATTAAGCTCAAAAAGCACAAGTTCCTAAAATGAGAACGACCCAAAGTCACACGACTCAAAGGGGTTGACTAGGGGATAAGATGTTTCGTTACAATCAACTTTTGGGAGTGGACTAATCCTATGCCTCCATATTCCTCGCTAATGACAACGTGAGTGCTACGCGCCATGGCAAGAGGGATCTATCACACATGAAAAAGACGATCAACACAAATCTCACATGGCTACTTAGCCGCTCAATCATCTATTCCAATTTCACAATTTCGATGCATGACAATTAAAATCAATGAGTACTCAAGTCAAGGTAGCCATCTATTTGCACACTTAAGAGAACTAAGGGGTCGTTTGGATGAGTTGTTGTGTAACGAGTTAATATAAAAGTGGAATTTCTCACAAAATAAGAATGTGGTATTTGTGAGTTATTTCACAATAACTACCCCCTATGAGGCTATGAGGTATTGACCATAACTCATTAAAGATTTATTTCAAATTAACTCAAGTACAAATAACTCACCATCAACTTTTGTAGACAAACGGATTATTTACGAAAATAACTCATATGAATAACTCATCCAAACGACCCCTAAACATTTTCACCAACCTAATGCAATTCTCAATCATCATAATAGGATGCACTCAATCGCAAGTAAATAATACAAAGTCAATGCTAATAAACACAAGATTCTCCACAAACCGGCCACAATGAACATGCAATGCTTGGAGTCCTCAAATTTTTAAAATTTTGGCATAAATCTAGGGTCCAAACACTCAATCACACACACAAGCATAATAGATAGACTACCCCCCAGGCTTGAGCTTGACATTGCCCTCAATGACGTAAAATAAGAGGTAGAACGATGTTACCGCATAGCTTGGTGAGTGAAAGTCGGGATGGAATTGGGCAAGAGATGAAGAGGAGAGAGCTTCACATGGGAACAAACACAAAAACACAAACACATTCTCACAGAATGCGAGGTTATTTCACAATAATAGTACTTAACATAAAAATAAACACAAACCTACATTGGATTGCCTCCCAACAAGCGCTACTTTTACGTCATAAGCTAGACGGTTTCTCCTTAAGCCTTGGTCCATCCTAGGACCTCCTTGAAGTTAAGGTTCTCTTCGGTGAGATGAAGTCCCAAGTCACGTGCATTGGACGAGTCCATGATTGAGGGCTCGTGAACTTGAGTGGCTTTGAGGCTCCACCCACTAGACCTCTTCTTCTTTCCTTCTTCTTTCTTGTCTTTGCCCCATACCATGTAGTGCGTCATTGATTATCCTCTATCACATCCACCAAGAGGGATAGCGATGTTTTGACCTTGGTTTGGCAAAGAGCCACAAATGAGTCCTTCTCGAGAAGTGCGTCAAGTTCAGTTAGAAAGCATTGGTAGCACATGTAACTCGTGGATGCTTCATCCACCTCGACCTCGTCCTCATCTTGGACGCCACTTGCTCCTTCTTCCTCAACCTCCCTTCCTTTTTCTTCAATTTCCTCTCCTTGCGAACACTCAAGATCTTCCTCCTCTTCAAAGCTCACTTCCTCCTATTTAACCTCTTCTCTCACCTTCTCATTCATGTCTTCAAAGTTGTTCTGGGGAAGGTGATCAATGAAACCTTCTTTGTCATCCTCACCACGGGAGTTCTTTGAGGTGAGTTCCTCTTGCTCCATATGGTTGTCATTGAGCGCCCCTTTAACCTCCTCTTCTTCTTTCCATGGTGAGAGGCGGTGGCGTGAACAAGCTCATGCCACCTTCTCTTCTAGATTCAAACCAGGAGGAGGGAGAGGTTGGAAATCCATGTCGGAGCTCGTTCTTCCAAAGTTCTCATGGCTTGCATCTTCGACTTCTTTTCTTCCGTAAAACGGTAGGATTTGATTGCGAGCAAGTTGTGCATATGCTTGATCAACAAGCCCTCCTAGCCTCTCCATGTGTCGAAGGAGCTCATCCGATTCCCGTAGAAAGTTTAAGTCAAAAGGGGCGGCAATTGGGAGGACCATGCTAGAGCATCCTTTGTCAGTGCCCCAGGCAAATTGCTCCACCATGAGCTTTAATTCTCTCTTTGGATATGGTTGTGGAGTGGCATATAGTCTTGAGAGAAGAACCTTTTGGCGCTTGAAATGTTGTTGTGTCCAGGATGAAGGTGTTGAACACGGTCTGGGAACACAGCCGTGTCTTGGCCGCATTCACTTTTGTTTTCTTCATTGATTCTATTCGTCTCGAACTCGTCCTCAACCTTCCCACACGTGCTAGGAACTGAAACATAACAAAAATAACACAACCTAGCGTAAAATAAGTCGATGGACGATGAAATGCAAATTCAAACTATCAAGAAATGAGGGGTAAAATGTGTACAATTGGACCCGAATCACTGCGCTAGCTAGTAGTGATTCTTAATTTACTAGCTAGATATGTTCGCTCGCTTGAGCTTTGAGGTAAGTTGAAGATAGGACGGTATAACTTTAAGAACTACAAGAAAAAATACTAAGATTTTGAGGGAGAGGTTCGTAATAATTATTTTCTCGTTGGGCAATGAATTTATGAATTAGAGGATGTCGATCTACATATTTGGATCTCTACAGTTGTTACTTCAAGTATTTACGAAGTTCACGCGGTTAAATGAAAAAGAAAAGACGAAAGGATGTAACAATTGGTTCTTTTGTTTTTTATGCCACTTTCGCCATTTTAATGAAGAGCGAGAAATAAGTGAGTAAGAATGCAAAACCGAATCCAAATAAAAAGTATGCATAATGAAAGATAATCCATATTAGAAGACGTAAAATCAAATACAAACACAAATAGATTAATTTGAGAATCGCAACAACAAAAGACGTAAAACCAAATACGAACATAAATGGCTAATAACCGGCCACTTTCGAGTGAGATGACTAAAGACGCAAAACCAAATACTAACACAAATAAGCATAGCAACAAAAAAATACACAAATTTAGAGAAGAAATAATTGAAAAGTGGTGCGACCCACGTATCTTATTGTTCTTTTTTTTTCTTGGGTTTTTTTTTTCGCTAATGACAAGAGCAAGAGGTAAGGAAAAGAGGGAGACATAAATAGGTGGGACCCCCTATGTGTTCTTGCCCTTAAAATTGTGTTTAATTAAGAACCAACCGCTTAATGAACAATAAATTTAGAACCAACTTTTAATATTAGAAACAATTTGGTGTGTCGTATGTATGATTGTATGTATGTATCACCGGTTCATATGTATCTTTGCTCTTCTACCTAAACCCAATGATTGATACTAGTTGTATTTATGTATCGCCGATTCATGGATTCCAACACTCTAATCGCATTAGAACGAGAAATCAAAGGATAATCGCTAGCTAGCTATAACATCTTCATCAATTATGGTTTATGAAATAGCATTCTGCATACAGACTTCTCAGCCCAATTCTTCTCTTAATCTCCAACCGAGATACAGACATGTACAAATTAAGTAAACAGAAGCAAAATTAAATGCATGCATAGAACTAATATAAGATTGGTGCTTAATTCTACCTCTTTCTCTTGATGATTAGCTTCTTCTATATAATTAGGCCAACATAACTATACGATTAATGTTCCTTCTATTTCCTTGCAAATTCTTGGAAATGATCTCCAATTATGAGGTGGTTTAGAGAATAGGATTTGGTGGATGGATTCATAGATTCGTTGTTAAGTGCCATCCAAATGGGACAACAACAACAACTTGATTAGGATATCCATCCCAACGTATCGACAGTGTATAATACATCTTGGTCACTAGCTGATTAGCTGAATGCAAAACTTAAAGACAATAAAAGGAGAGTTGCTATCTCTTGCATATACGAGCATTGAAGTTGGTCCAAAATGCCACGCAATTGACAATGACAAAAGAACCAAAGAACGAAAAAAAATCTTCTTTCGCGACAAAAAGAAAAAAACAATCGCGACCGGATACTGCACTAACGTTACAGGGATTGATGTGATGTTAACAACCATCGCAGTAGTTGTAGTCTTAGAACTGTAAAAAAAAAAAAAAAACTACCATCACAATAAAACATGTACTTACCGCGAGGATTCGTACTTAAACAGATTGTTAATATGTGGGTCGTGAAGATTCGAAACACAATCACTTAACTACACCTGTTCTAATTAATATTATGTCATAAACCAATGGATACCAATAACTCGAATTGTAAGAGAAAGTTGTTTATTAATCTTATAACACTCTCTTACATGCACATCTTTGGTTTGTTATAAATCAACCGGTATCAATAACTTGAATTGTTAAGAGAAGGATAATTATGAATTTTATCACAATCTTTTACATACAATCGTCCCTCAAACGAAAATCAACTTACAAGTTTGAAATTTGCATAGGTCTACCATATATTACGCGTAATTTGACTTTTAATAATATGTGGGTCGTGGAAATTCGAAAACATAATCATCTGAGCAAACCAACAGTAATATCATGTCATAAATCAATAGATACCCATAAATAAATATTATTAATCAATCCACAATATATATATAGTATTATGTAACAAGGCATGGTTTTCTATATATACATCAACGTGTATTACACCTTCTTTCGTCGCTAATCATAATTGAGGCAAATATTATATGGGGAGGCAGAGTGTATCGACTCCAAAATTGACCATGGTCTTGTTCATCCTGCTGATTAGTATTCTCACTGCCATGCTACCAATTTCAGCGACTGATAGGGTTCATCATCACCATAAACATGGCGGCCACAGAAAGGAAAAGAAGGCAGGCAGCCACAGAGTTTATCGAGAGGGCAGATCATTTGCCGGCGGGCGAACCAGCCGTCGGGACCGCTTCAGTCAGTGCGGGTAGCAGCAGTCAATATAATTGAGCTTCTTCTATAGCAAAGTCAACCAAAAAGCTAAGCCTTCCTGCTCAACTTGAGAGTTGCTGCCTCCCTCAAGCTTCTCCTAGTTAAAGGGACTACCATATAATTATATAATTGTCATACAAATAAGACGAATGAGAAGATGTTGTCGGTCATTATTTGTTAAGCACATGATATTCAGATTCGTGAAAGTTGCAAAGCTTTTGTTTGAAGAAACATATTAGTAAACAGAATCAAATTGAATCTCTCCCGGATAAAGGGGAGCGGATCAGGTCAGTAACTCATATGGTGAGTAACCATCAGTAATCTGTCCACATCCGCATAACATCAGCATCTCCTCTCTCATGGAAAGTCTTTTTATCTTTTCCCCTTTAATCTTTAACGGATAATTTCTCTCTCGTTTTAAGTCAAAATTTAAATTTTTTTGCACAGATAAATCAGATTAAATGTGCTCTTTAAAATGATATTCACTTTGATATATTTTTAGTACAAAAAAATTGAATAATTTTTTACCAGTCGTTACCATATGGTTTGCTCATATTTAATACCATATGGTAAGAAAGCGTATCATGATGGTATGAACATACCAATATGGTAAGAAGGTTGAATACATGATAGTAGGAGTATACTAACTGTCATTTACGACTTTCATCATTGTTTACCACAAGTTACCACCCACATACCATAGTGGTAAAGTATGGTAATTTTTTTTCTAGTATTTTTTTCACCCTAAAATTTGTAGATCCAATAGATCATGATGAACTCGTTCCTTCTGAGCAAACGTTGTCAAAAATGACTTAAAAACGAATAAGTAACCATATGGTATGTAGTTGGTAAAAAAAAGTTTCTCGAAATATATTGAAAATTGATCTCATTTTGTAGAGCACAACGAACTTGTTCCATATGTGAAAAAAATTGGAATCCGAGTTAAAACAAAGAAGATAAGAGCCAATTATGAAAACTAGGGAAAATAAAATGTCTTTCATTGACAACTCTTAGATCTAGATTTTCTGGGCCCACTTAGATCTAAAGGTCCAGATTTAGTTATTCACCCTATCCTAAGCCCGGATAAAGACACAGAGCGTTGCTATCTTGCTTGCATAATATTGAAGTTGGTCCAAAATGCCACGAAAATGACAATGACCAGAAATGCAAAGAAAGAAAATATGGCCTAGCTAGCTGGTCATTTTTTTCTCAATCTATATATGGCCTAGCCTGCCGTTATCGCTTTGTCGCCTCCTGTACAAGCATGTGGCCGGATTCTGGTGGGGGGTTGAGGATGGTCGTTCCAAGATTCGGTGGGTCTCCTGGAGAAATTTGTGTAGAAGTAAGCATGAGGGGGATGGGTTTTCGCCGGTTCGAACAGTTTAATCAAGCGTTGTTGGCTAAGATAGGATGGCATATTCTGAACGAACCCCAATCCCTCTTAGTCCAGGTCTATAAAGGGAAGTATTTCCCGCAGGGATCCTTTCTCTCGGCTACTGCGCGATCCCGCCCATCCTGGGGATGGCAGAGTTTTCTCTTTGTTCGGCAGTTATTGACCAATGGTTTGCGGTGGCAGATTGGGAATGGACAGAAGGCTCCTTTGCTCGACTCAAACTGGATCCCGACTCAACTTCTTTCTTCTCTTGTGTATAATCCTCGGGTTTTGCCGGATGATGGGGAAATGACGGTCTCGGTTGTCCTCTGTCTCGGGGAAGGGTGTTGGTGCGAAGATAAGCTGAGTCAGTGGTTTGACCCTCTGACTTGCCAGGCGATTAAGGCGTTGCCCCTGCCACGGCAGAATATCGAGGATTGATTAAGCTGGCATGCCACGGAGGATGGAATTTTTACTGTCAAATCGGCTTATCATTTGGCGGTTTGTCTGGACCAACAGAGTGGGAGATGGTGGGCGCAAGTTAGTTGGATGGACAAGCGGAGTTGGATCCGGGTTTGGGATGCCAATATTCCTCCGAAACTGAAGGTGTTTGTCTGGCAAATCTTGACCAAAATTTTACCAACAAGTGAGGCTCTTATAGAAAAGGACGTGGAGATCCCGAAATTACGTGGTCTTTGAAGGAAAACAATTTAGTATTCCGGCATTATTGAGGCAGTATAACAAACAAGTAGGGGAGTGACTCGGCCTGCCTAGGGACCCTCACTCTCCCTCTTCTCATCTGCCTGATCGTCCTACTGTGGTAGTGAGTGGGTCAGGGGGACCGGTGTGTCGTTGGGATGGGGTTGTTCGATGAGGGTCGCACTCTGCAGGTGGTATGGTACTTCTCAATGATGTAGGGACGCCGCTCTGGGCTGCGGGGGTTCAGTTTCCCAACCTAGAGGATCCAATGGTGGTGGAGCTACTTACGCTTAGGGAAGCTGTCCGTTGGTGTTTAGCGCATGGGTTTCTGGTCATGCGGTTTGAAGGGGATGCCAAGGTGGTCATTGATAAGATCTGTAGGGCAGATGTGCGAGACAGTCGGGTAGGGGATGTTTTGGAGGAAATGATTCAGGTTTTCAGGGAAAATCCGGGCTTTACTGTGCGATTTGTAGGACGGGGTGACAATAGGGTAGCTCATATGGTAGCTAGACAGGCCCTTTCTTTGTTCCCGACTACGTATCGTTATTTTGATTTCCAGACCTGGCTAGCTTCCAGGATGTAACCATCGATTTGTTACTATCAATATATGATTATCTTTTGTAAAAAAAAAAAAATTCTTGATCAAAGTTACGTTACTACAACATTTCATCAAAGCAACTAGATCCATTTTCTATATATAGATTAGAGACAACTAATTAACCACCTTGTGCTAACACCCAACCCAAGCATATCCAGAACGAGGAGAGTATCTGCAACCAATACTACATCGGGAATCCTCCTCCTGTTTTGCGCCGTCGCTATTAGTATAGCCTTGCTACCTTCATATGTAGCATCGGGGGAGGAGGATGATCACCGCAGCGATACCGCCAACCAAAGTGTTAAAATGCTATGTGCCTTACTTCATTCCCTCAAAAAAACAATCAAAGGTTTGTTAACTTAAATCTACCCGATATAACGAAGTTCTCAGTTATGACAACAGAGATTAATCACCAAGACCTAATAAACTAAAGACATGAGTTCTAAATAACCAAATCAATCCCTAACAAGGAAAGGACAAGAAACAGAATGAAGGCAAGAACATAAGAGGAGCCCAGATAAGCTTGAGTTCTTGGCTGCAAACCCCTACTCAAGCTATTCAGACACTTAAACCGAACCCAATCCAAAGATCCCCAAAGAATAAACCAGTTCTTACTGAGTCGAGGAAACTGTTGCTCTTCTACTTCCTGGAGAGGTCTTTATATAGAATCAGCTGCGCCAATCTTTCGTCTCTTATCTTCAATGCAGGTTACCGTTTGATCGAATTGATGATGGTGATGACCGATGAGCAAGTGGCTCACAGAGGAATCGTTGACTGTTTTGATGATGCTGATGAAGTCAAGGACTGAAGGTGAAGACGCGCGATGGGATCTTGACGAGGAAAGAGACGATGCAACTATGTTAGATGGGCTTATGCGTGAGTGGGCCTTTTGGTTCTTCAAATTCAGAATATCTCCCCCTGCGTTCAAGCATTTATTCCTTCAATCATTTGGAGCAAAACTGAGGTATCTAATTCTGCAAATTCAGAATATGGAAGACTTTTATTTCATATGCAGCAGACAGACAAGGGACCAGCTACAGCTTTTTCGAAGAGACAAACACACATACTTAGACCATTATGGTCTTTAGAAAGAAGACTCACATATTGACCCTTATGGTCAATATCAAACAAAGACACTTAGAACATAATGTTATGATTCCATTTATTTCTAGGTTGGCATTCTTAATGGATGTTCCCCCTTGACTCCCCCTGAGTTCCAGCATCCTGATGGTCAGTCCTAGCATCCTGATGATTGTTTTCCTGCAACTCCCCCTGAGTTCCTGCTACTCCTTCCATCATATCCCTTTCAAGGTCTTCAGCAAAGAGTCTAATGTCCTTATCAGATATGGATTCAGGTTCTAGTTCAGCCTCTTCCTCCTCAATAGAAGAGGAAGATTCCCCAAGTTTCAGAGATTTTGAAACAGTTTTTGAGTTAGGTTTTGCTCTCCTAGCTACTGGATCTATGGTATCTCCCCCTTTCGAAGTCTGAGGATCAACTCCAATGAAGTTCAGTACAGCAAGAGCAGGGATGGAGACTGATGTCTCGACAGAGGAGTATCCATCAAGAGAGATACCAAGATTGGAGAGAATGAGAGTGATGAACGCGCCATAAGGAAGGCTCGCCCCAAGATGAGCATTAGCACTTCGAAGAATTGATCCAAACAGCAATTGGGAATAATCTATTTTTGGTCTCGTGAGGGCATTGGAAAGCACTTATAGGTCAAGTTTGGTGACAATATGACGGCCGTTGGTGCGAGGCAGGAACAAATGGGTGATGAAATAGTGGAGGGTACGCAAGGAAGGGTTCAGATCAGCAGAGGTGATGATTTCATTAGCTCCAATAGGACGTTGAGTGATGCGAGAATACTCAATCACATTATCAAAGTCATAAAACAGAAACTCAACCTCATGAGCAAGAGGGAGGGGTCCTCTAGTGGGGAGATTCAGAAGATGCCAAGAGCTTCAGCGGTTAGTGAGATGTAGTAGCCATTAACCAAAGTAGTGAGTTTTCTTGTGGTGATCCCTTGACAGTCCAGGTTGGCATAGAACGTGCGAACTGGAAGAGGGCAAGCAGCAAGTGGAGGGTAGTGGAGAAGGAATTCCCAACCCAGGTTTCTGATGAATGGTGTGATGTCGATCCCATGATATTTGAATTCAAACAAATCAAGGGTGATGGGATCAGACAGATGGCGGGAGGCATAAAATTCTTTGAATCGGTGAAGGTTGAAGTCAATAGGCTCATTGAAGGTTCTGCCTACATATGTAACTATGGCACCAGGAATGTTGGAGGAAGTAAACAACTCAGTCATGATGAGAGAAAAGAGGAGGCGAGGAAGTGAAGGGAAAGGAGGCATGGAGGATGAAATTTATAGGGAAGACAGGAGAGGAAAAGGTGCAATAATTTTTTGGAAATCACAGACCATTGAAAAACCAAACATCACATGCATGAACAGGCAATTATTGCAAAAACACAACATGCAGAAATTAAGCACTTAATGAACTAGCATAAGTAAGTACAGTAGTAAAGGAAGAACAGAACCTGGTTTAGTGACTGTCTTGAATAGAGTGAAGAGATTGCAGACCTAGTTCACCACACAGTCGAATGACTCGTTCAGAAGACAGAGCCTTGGCAAAAATATCCGCAATTTGGAACTCTGTTGAGATGAAGTTTAACTCTATATGTCCAGCTTGAATTATTTGCAGCCCAAGGAAGAAATTTAATTCTCCCATGAGGCTCATTTCAAATTTGCTTTTCATAGCAGAGCAGAATTCATCACATTACGGGGTCAGTACTTCCAAAGACTATATCATCCATATACACTTGAACTATCAATGAGTGACTGTTTTTACGTTTAATGAACAGTGTTTTGTCTACCCCACCTTGATAGAATCCTTGTGAAATCAGAAAGGAGGTTAATTTTTCATACCAGGCTCTGGAGCTTGTTTAAGACCATATAAGGCTTTAGACAATTTATAAACATGATCAAGAAATTCAAAGTCCGTAAATCCAGGGGGCTGTTCAACATATACATCCTCATTGATTTCACCATTTACAAAGGCACTTTTGACATCCATTTGAAAATTTTTTATATTCATATAGCTAGCATAGTCACAGAGAAGACAAATTGATTCTAGGCGAGCTACAGGTGCAAAGGTTTTTGGTAACGTCGTATTTGCACATGTTTGCACCCTAATTTCTTCATCATTTTGGCTAGAGTTTTTGATTTCTTGGACTATTTTACGCTAGGTTGTGTTCCTTTGTCACATTTCAGGTCCTAGCATGTAAATTGGAGCAAAGGCGCAAGTTTCAAGTCAATCGGAATTCATTTGGCAATTCGGGAGAAGAAACACGAGCATGACCTGAGGAATAATGGATTTCTACCTCATTTTATGGACAAATAATCATGAAAGTTTGTTATGAAAAGAAAGAGGACGAGACTACGAGCGTCTTGGTTCAAACGGCGACTGATTCGGAGTCCGGACGAGGGAGAAACGAAGCATTCAACAGGAGCGGAGGAAGAATTACGGACAGCCCCTGCCCAATTACGGGCGTAATTGCTTCTGTCATGCCCATAAATGAAATGCCGAGCCTAAATCCCTGAGAATTCCTGTCGCAGAGTAAATTACGGGCAAGAGTAGACTCATTTACGGTCGTAATTACTTAAACATTGGCAATAATTGGGTAATTACGACCGTAATTACCTTCCTCAGAGTTTAGTGAAACGCGCGTTTTGGGTGAATTACGGGCAGACCATGATTTACGATCGTAATTCAGCCCGTATTTCACCAACAATCGGGTTTTTGAGGCAGATTCGAGCCAAAGGAGAGAGAGTCGACTTTTTGGAACAAAAATAGAGTTTTAGAGAGAGAAAGTGCGAAGAACAAACCCTAGGAGCTATTTGGAGTGGATTTCTCACCATTGAAGCCCAGATTGCATCCCCAGGAGTGAAGATTGACATCCCAGAGCAGATTCTTCCCATTGTTATGAGTATGACTGCTTTGTATTCTGTTTCCCTCTCTCTCTCTATGGAGAAGAACTTTCTCTCATTTGGGTATGAAGAACCCTAGTTCCATGTGTTAGGAATCTTGATTGTAATTACGTTTGGATTGTCTTTTATTGAGTCAATTGAAGTCTGATCATCTTTTATTGATTTCTGCTGCAACCTGAGATAGATAGAATCTGATTAGATTGTTAGAGCTTCTTCAATCAGTAGTAGTGAATCGATTATATGAGATTTAGTCGATTCACTGCTTTGTACTGGAATCTAATTCCAGTAGTGCAGTTTTGTGTTCATTGCTTCAACGTTCTATCCCGATGAAGACTAGTCGTCTTCCGGGTAGTTTGACTGAGAGGGCTTGGTCAGCTTAAGAGATTCCAAGCTACTGTTGGATCTTCCGCTAATCAGCAGTAAAGTAACCAAGAGTAATTACAACTGTGACCTAACTAAGGAGCTAGGGGGACTCATTCCCGAGTGACTCTTCCCTTGATTTAGAAAACCGAATCATTTCCTGCTTTTGCTTAAATCAACAATCACTCGACTTAGTTTGCTAGATAATAGATATCTCGGAGTAGGCAGTAGATCTAGACCTCGCGTTGACAATTAGAGCTTGCCTGTTACTGCATCTCCGGACTGCGATTACACTTGGTCGCAGTTTGGTGTTGTGTTTTAGCGTGTCAAGTTTTTGGCGTCGTTGTCGGGGAACTCTAGGTTATTGTAGAAATGTGAAAGTCTGTTACTTTAGCATTTACTTTTATGCATCCTCTCTTTTCCACCCTTGCTTTTCACTTGGGTATTTTATTTTTGTTGGTGCAGATCTGATACATGGATTCTCAAGGCTTCTCCAACCATTGGGGGTATCCACTACCATCCGAGTGGTATTACCCCGAGACTTCCTGGAGCACCCAAGGAGGAGAAGACTATGGAGTCGGGATTTAGTACCAACCCCCTACTACGAAGAACAATAAGACCCTTGGGTATTTCAAGAACAATCTCATTATCAAGAAGAATTCCTCCCACAACTAGAAGAGCCATCGGATCTTGATTTAGCCACAGCCTTCACGAGCCATCCGGCAAAGCCATGCTACACTCGACAGCCAGATCTAAACTATCACTTGAGGCTTCTCGTGGAGCAGATTGCTCGAGTACCTAAGAGATCCTTTCCCGAGATGGATCCTCATATCCATGCCACGACTCAAACTTACTTCTCCTTTCCCCGTGAAACAGAGGATACCCTTCGGAGCATAAAGAAGCACATAGAGGTCATTGAGAAAGCTTGTGCAAAGTTTTCTCAAGACAACCTTTATACTGCCATACAAGTAGAGGAGGAGGAAGAAGAAGGCAATCATGAGGATGTTGAGGAGCATGCAGAAGTTGTCACGGAAAGCTCCCATGGTAATCATGATCAAGTGTATCCTCTGGTGGTAGATCACAACTGTCCCCATTTCCGCTCTGATATGCTGGGCCCGAGCGAGGAGATGCAAGATGATCTCATTGAAGAAATTACATGGAGACTTTCTCTCCAATCTGTGCTAGAAGAAGAAGAGCGAGAAAGGGTGAGGGAAGAAGTTGTGGAGGATGAGGAAGAAAGCAAAGAATAGGAAGTTCTTAATCTTTTCCAAGGGGAGATACCACATTGTGAAGAAGGAAGGGGGGTTAAGGAAGCAATTGGCGTCCAGGCTGAGGATGAAGTTGAGGTGGAAGAGGCCTGCACCGGCCCTATGTTACATGTGATATCTCCACCAAACATCGAGGAGCTACTTGGAAAGGACCCATTTGCAATATCTCTTTGCCAGACCAAGACCACATCAACATCAATCCCTCTTGGTGGATGCGATAGTGGTCATCGATGGTATCTTATCTGGTTTGGGGAAATGAGACAAGAGCAAACGCGAAGGAGAGGTCTCGAGTGTGGAGACTTCATCTTCCTCAAGGCCACGAGCCATCTTCATCACCTATCACATCACCTGCTTGTGATTTGAGACTCCACATCATCGACGAGAACCTCAACTTCAAGGAGGTTCTGGGGTGGAGCGAAACTTAGGAGCCACCGTCTAGCTAAAGACGTAAAGGAAGCGCTTGTTGGGAGGCAACCCCACCAAGGTTTTTTTTCCTTTCGTTTATTTTCGGTTTTTCCACTTGGAACTATGGTTTCTATAACCCGGTGTGTTTTGCTGATGGTAGCCCCGCTGACGGGTCCTTTCCAGTCCCCCGGCAGTCTTTCCTTCTGGTAACATCGTTCCCCTTATCTTTCCCTCTGCTCCATTGAGGGCAATGTCGAATTTAAGTGTGTGTGTGTGGGGGGGGGGGGGGGTTCTTTGTATTCATTGGAACATATATATATATGGGTGCGTGGGGCCTAGTCCGCTGCCCAAATCTCGATAGTTGAGGGCTCCAAGCACTGCTGTTTGCTTGATCATATTCGCATTGTGGATTTAATTGGTGAATTGAATGGTGTTCGAATTAATGCATGACAACTGGACTGTGACTAGGACAACCTATAATGATGACTGAGACGTGCAGTAGAATTGTGTAGGGGTTCAGTTTTTCAACTGTTTGCTTACCAACTGTGACTTGGATTTATCACTTGTTCTTGACAGTCGTTTATGCATCTAGTTCAGGGAATCATAATGAGAGATAGAGCATATAGGTAGCCATGTGAGATTTGAGCTTGCTCGTTTCATTCTTGTGCAATAGATCCCTCTTCCATGATGTGTAGCATTCACGTTATCATTAGCTAAGATGATGGAGGCATAGGATTAGCCCACGACCAAACTGACTGTCCTGATGTGTAATACCCCCTAGTCAGCCCTTTTGAGCCGTGTGTTATCCTTTCTTTCGGTTTATATTGGAAAATCACTCTTTTGCATCTCTTAGAAGGTTCCACGGAGTGGTTTTTGCATGTTCTCTGCTGTTTCTGCTAAAAATAATGTGAGGGTTGGAGGTAGTTCTTAAAAAGTTGGGCATGTGTTTGAAAAATGTGCATAGGTGGGGGTTCTCTCAAGAAATGAAAAAAAAGAGAAAAAAAATGAATGAAAGCAAAAGAGAGCCACCACCACAAAAATGTGAATAGTGCCCTTTAAGTAGTGTTTCTTAGCAGTCTGGCTTGGAAATACTAACATTTATGTGACCTCCTTCGCTCTTGTGCTCTAAAGAATCTGAATAATGCAGAATGGCAGAAAGAAAGTTACTAGTTTGATTGGTTGTGAAGGTGTTGGGTTTGGAATTGTGGAACCTTATGCCATGAATACTTCCACCACCTAAAAGGCCTTTTCCCCATGTCCAAGACCCTAGCCAGTCATCTGAACCTGTGTCTAAGACCTCTGGATTAGTTAGTGGTGACACCCCATATGTGAACTCTAACATTTAGAGGCTACCTTCATGGTGAAGAGACGTTAGGGATTGAGAGAATAAGCATGTGCATTTTTCGCATCAAATTTTCCTGACCCCACTGGTCGAGAGTGAGCAATTCATTTTCTCATATTCTCTATACTCTTTACCCAGGTGAGGACCTAGATTGCTCGGTCTCAATTCTGATATCTTTAGTTTTGTGCATGAGGTGACTGTCTTGAGTAAGTGGTTGAGTCAAGTCTATATTGGTTGATGAACAGAAGGGAGACTCTTCCTTTAACCGATTTTGCTGCACTCGAATTCCTCTATGGTGGTCGTCCAGGTTGCTGTTGAAGTTGTTCATGTGTTGATGTCTAAAAGCCAGTATGATTCTCGTGTTTCGTGCCTATATGATATGTCCCCAAGGGTTTCATGATTGAAATGTGTTGAACTTTCCTTGTATCTGACTTGGTTTGCTTGGGGACAAGCAAACGGTTAAGTGTGGGGGAATTCAATAACTTCGTACTTGCACATGTTTGCACACTCGTTTCTTCATCATTTTGGCTAGAGTTTTTGATTTCTTGGACTATTTTACGCTAGGTTGTGTTCCTTTGTCACATTTCAGGTCCTCATTTCAAGTCCTGAGGAATAATGAATTTCTACGTCATTTTATGGACAAATAATCATGGAAGTTTGTTATGAAAAGAAAGAGGATGAGACTATGAGCGTCTGGGTTCAAACGGCGACTGATTCTGAGTCCGGACGAGGGAGAAACAAAGCATTAAACAGGAACGGAGGAAGAATTACGGGCAGCCCCTGCCTAATTACGGGCGTAATTGCTTCTGTCAAGCCCGTAAATGCAATGTCGGGCCTAAATCCCTGAGAATTCCTGTCGCAGAGTAAATTACGGGAAAGAGTGGACTCATTTACGGTCGTAATTACTTAAATACTGGCAGTAATTGGGTAATTACGACCGTAATTACCTTCCTCAGAGTTTAGTGAAACGCGCGTTTTGGGTGAATTACGGGCAGACCATGATTTATGACCGTAATTCATCCCGTATTTCACCCAGAATCGGGTTTTTGAGGAAGATTCAAGCCAAAGAAGAGAGAGTCGACTTTTTGGAGGAAAAACAGAGTTTTAGAGAGAGAAAGTGCGAAGAACAAACCCTAGGAGCTATTTGGAGTGGATTTCTTACCATTGAAGTCCAGATTGCATCCCTAGGAGTGAGGATTGACATCCGAGAGCAGATTCTTCCCATTGTTATGAGTATGGCTGCTTTGTATTCTGTTTCCCTCTCTCTCTCTCTCTCTCTCTCTCTCTCTCTCTATGGAGTAGAACTTTCTCTCACTTGAGTATGAAGAACCCTAGTTCCATGTGTTAGGAATCTTGATTGTAATTACGTTTGGATTGTGAGATTGCTTGATTATAATCGATTGAAGTGTTTTGATTGAGTCAATTGAAGTCTGATCATCTCTTATTGATTTCTGCAGCAACCTGAGATAGATAGAATCTGATTAGATTGTTAGAGCTTCTTCAATCGGTAGTAGTGAATCGATTATACGAGAGTTAGTCGATTCACTGCTTGGTACTGGAATCTAATTCCAGTAGTGGAGTTCTGTGTTCATTGCCTCAGCGTTCTATCCCGGTGAAGACTAGTCGTCTGCTGGGTAGTTTAACTGAGAGGGCTTGGTCAGCATAAGATATTCCAAGATACTGTCGGATCTTCCGCAGTATAATCAGCAGTAAAGCAACCAAAAGTAATTACAACTGTGACCTAACTAAGGAGCTAGGGGGACTCATTCCCGATTGACTCTTCCCTTGCTTTAGAAAACCGAATCATTTCCTGCTTTCTTACTGATTTTGCTTAAATCAACAATCACTCGACTTAGTTTGCTAGATAATAGATATTCACAGAGTAGGCAGTAGATCTAGACCCCGGGTTGACAATTAGAGCTTGCCTGTTACTGCATCTCCGGACTGCGATTACACTTGGTCGCAGTTTGGTGTTGTGTTTTAGCGTGTCAGTTTCATCATAGTCTATGCCCTCCTCCCGATTGTATCAGTGGGCAACAAGTCTAGCTTTATTTTTAATAATGTATCCAAGTTCATCATATTTATTTCTGAAAATCCATTTAGTACCGATGACAGTGATGTTAATGGGTCGAGGTACTAGTTCCCAAACTTTCAGCCTAATGAAGTGAGATAATTCTTCTTGCATTGGAAGCAACCATTCTTCATCAAGTATAGCTTATTTGTAGTTTTTAGGTTCAAGAATGAAGACAAAAGCGTATTGACCTAGGATGTGCTTACCTCTGGTGTGGATGGGATCAGTGAGTTTACCTATGATCTGTGAAGGAGGATGCCTTTTTCTGATGTGAGTAGGGGCTTCTTGATTTTCACTGTGATCTTCGACTTGTGAAGTAGAATCAGACAATCAGTAGTTGAAGGTGATTCTCAATGGTTTGAGCTCACATCACGAGATTCCTCACTGATAGCAATAACTTCTGTCTCACAAGAAGAAATTAGAGGAAGAAAATCATAATTGTTAATGTCAGAGTGCAAAGGAAGGGAATGATGAAATGAGTCAAATCGAATGTGCACTGATTCTTCAACTTTTCTAGACCTTTTATTGAAGACTCTGTAAGCTTGTCCTTTTGATGAGTATCCAAGAAAAATACCAATATCAGACTTAGCATCAAACTTCCCTAGTGAGTCTTTGGTGTTTAATATAAAACATTTCGATCCAAAGGGATGAAAGTAAGAAATCTTAGGAGTTTTTCCTTTCAGGATCTCGTAAGGGGTTTTGCTAACAGATTTACTGATAATAGTTTGATTTATGACAGAACAAGTAGTGTTAATAGCTTCTTCCCAAAGATACTTGGAACAATCAAATTCTTACAACATGGTTCTAGCTGTTTCAATGAGTGATCTATTTTTCCTCTCCACAACACCATTTTGTTGTGGAGTTCGAGGAGCTGAAAGAGTGTGAAGAATCCCTAGCTCATCACAGAAGTTGCTAAATTCATCATTGATGAATTCACCACCATTATCACTTCTAATGGATTTAACAGGACAACTATATTGTTTTTGCATAAGGACAATAAAATACTTAAATTTAAAGAATGATTCATCTTTGGATGAGAGAAAGTACACCCAAGTGAACCTAGAAAAATCATATACACTGACCAGAACATAGGATTTTCCACCAAGACTTTGGACATTGGTGGGACCAAAAAGATCATAGTATTATCAGAGATGCGTTCAATAATGCAGCAGAATGGATCAAATATGACACGGTATGTGGATCCACAAATTTGACTAATGGAGAGAAGATTGTATTTTAAACCATCAACATACAGAACATCTTCAATTATGAGAGAAGAATTACTGCTAATTGTACCCTTACCAACTACTGAAGCACAGTTATTGTTACCATAAAATACTTTACCTCCCTTTTTAGGATTTAGAAACGAAAAAAGATATTTGTTACCAGTCATGTGATGGGAGCATCCAGAGTCTAAGTACCAGATGTTAGCTCCTTTATTATTCTCAAAAGAAAAGAAACTTAGTTAGAAGATTTAACAACCCAAACAAGTTGGTTTTTTGTTTCCTGAAATAAAAATGCTCATAACCATAACCAGATTTTCTACAGAAGGTGCAGAAAGGAGGGTATCTCCAAAAATCTACACGGTTTCTCAAGCTCAGAGTATTGGAGCATGATTCAGGAATATTAATTCTGTGATTTCGATTGAGCATTCTAATATTCTTGTTGATTATCTTGTCACAGTTGTCAATTTGCCTTTTTAATTTCGAGTTTTCTGCAGTAAGATTAGCAACTTGAGAGTCCTGAGTGATTTGAGCAGCTTGTTGAACATTGACAAGTTCTTTAAGATTGCTGATTTCCTTCTCCTTCTCATGTAATTTAGGTACAGTTAAACAGAACTTGCTTTTCAATAAATTACATTCATTTTGAAGATTAGACAGAGCATGAAGAAAGAAGTCATCGTTATGAGATTCAGAAATTCCATTAGAAGAGGATTCAGACCATACCTTTTCTTCAGCAAGTTCATCTTCCAGGCCTGAGTTCAGACCCATGTATGCCACGACTTTAGACTCCTCTTCTGAGCTGTAGTCACTCCAGGATGCAGTCATTGCCTTTTCTTTCTTTTTGTTAAGTGGACAATTAGCACTTATATGACTTGTTTTTCCACATTTGAAACAGATAGTTGAGTCAGAATTATCATTTGAGTTCTTGTTGTCTTTTGGACCAGATTCAGATCTGTTGGATCCAAATGAATTTTTGTCATTTGATCCACCAGAGTAATATCCAGATGATCTAGGGAAGTTGTTAAGCAAGTTTCCAGAAGATTTGGGAGAGTAATTATGGTTGTAGCTTCCCCTTTTATATTTTGGTCATGTTTAAACTTCATCATTCTTTGAAATTTTTTGCTGGTTAGAGCGAGTTTGTTTTCAAACTCCTCATCCAGTTTCTCTTCTCCATCAGTACACACAGACTTAAAGGCAATAGATTTGTTCTTCTTATCCTGGAGGGAGTTCATTTGTTTCAGAACTTCCTCATGACTAAGAAGAGATCCAATCAAGTTTTCAAGAGACAATACATTGAGATCCTTAGCTTCTTCAATGGCATTTCTTTTAGCCATCCATTCAAGAGGAAGAGATCTAACCACTTTTCTAACAAGCTCTTTGCCTATGAAGGTTTTACCTAGTCCCTTTAGGCGATTGACTAGGGTGGAGAATCTTTTATCCATTTCTGAAATAGATTCACTAGACATAATATCAAAAGTTTCATATTCTTTTAGAAGCAAGTCTATTCTGGTTTCCATAACTTCTGAAGTTCCTTCGTGTATAGTTTTAAGAATTGACCAAATTTCTTTAGCAGTTTCACATTTGTTTACTCTTTCACCTTCATCTTCAGATATTGCTGACAACAAAATATGCATGGCCCTAGAGTCTAGTTGAGCATTTTTCTTTTGTTCATCAGACCAATCCTCCTCGTCATCTTCCTTCATGTCAATTGGTCCGTTTCGGACAATTGCCCATAATTCACAGTCGATTCCTCGGAGGAAAAGGCGCAT